TTGCTAGACTGGAACTTGGACTGTGCGACATAGGATAAGAATGACGGGCAGAACCTGATTACCTCTGGGAAAGTCTCTCGGCTTCTGCGCAGCAGAGGGCATACAGCGAGGAATAAGGAGGCAAACCCACGCGCGTTATCTTCCCCAAAACTGGCCATGTAAGCATCCATATATCTGTACCCGGACAGATGCCCATACTTGCATCCTTGGTAGATATCATGTGCCGGTTCCACGATGTCCATTACAGGATCAAGATGGTTTGTTGTCCCGGAGTTGACTTCGTCTTGCATGTTCGAAAAGCCGCAAACAATGATCTTTATGAGATTAGAAGCTCAAGTCAGAACACTCGCTGTTTCAAAGGATGGATAAATTTGACATACGACTTCTCCTGAACCTGCATCCTTGAGCCGAATGTTTCCCGCCCCTCTTAGATAACTTATTTGACCTAGGGCTCGAAGATGTTCTAAAGGGTTCTTAGTCGTGCTCCCCACTTTTGTCAAGAAAGCTCACCGATGAGGTTCTGTGCTTGGTTTCCGGGTGCAATCAGATTGCCGAGATCTACGACGTAGGGGTTGTTCTCGTCGTGCAGGCTGACAGTTTTGGCAGAAAAGGTGAAAGCATTGGTGACGGCTTGGACAAAGCCTGGGAACGTATTGCAACTTGGATGCAAATACCATGCGTGTACGCATTTTGGAAGGAGCAGTGACAGCAGCGGACACCAGCAGATTACGGACTTGAGCTTTGACAACATGTCTCTGCACTAGACGAAGAGAGTATAACTGGAAGTAGGTGACCTTGTACGTTGAGAACATGTACGAAGTCGAGAATAAGCGAGATGTAGTATTTGATCAAAGGTGGTCTGAGGAACACTCATGGTCATGACGGTGCGATTCCGTCTCCTTGAGATTGAGGAGTGAGAACAAAAGAAGATTGCCACGAGACGTGTGTATTGCTGACAGTATCAGAGAATGCTCGACTTGGAGTCGAATGTTGGTATCAGCCTTCATTATTGCCAAAAATACTGCTCGACGAACGATAGTGCTTTTTCCTCTACCCTCACAAAGGGTTAAACTCTGCGCCTCGACACAATATATTCAAAACATCGCAATTTCGCATTTAGATGCATCTCAGGTCTGGGGGCCAACTGGGCCGACCCATGAGCCCTGGAGAACGTCTGATGTGCACAACAATTGGCCCCACCAGCCCCGCTTGAATGACACAAGCTAAAGGCATTGGGTTTAATTGTTTTGTCTTAGGTATTCCGTATGAAGTAGACTAAAATAAAATATGAATGATTGCCTTCGCCTTCAAAATGGTCCTACCTGTTGAACAGATCGCGATATCTGCGTCGCCAGGAGGCTTAGCCAGCAGGGGCAACATCGAATCATCTCTAGATATACCATTAGGGTCATGAACGCAAGTATCAACAGTAAGGGAATGAGCACATCTTACCAAGCATACTCGTAGTACTTTCAGGGCTGCTAAAATCTCATTGGTGCGTGATTCGAACCTCGGTGTCTCTGAAGAAGCATATGGATCAAAGAACACAGGATGATCCTGTTAATTGAGCTGATGTTACGCTTCTCCACCGACCTTACAAAGACAACTATCGCGACATCCATTACAGCGATGAGTTTCATGCTGAACGCTATCGTTTTGAAAGGGGCGCATGACGGCGGCGAGCCAAGCCTTACTAGTACGTAAACAATGCGCCGAGGCGCCCAATGTCCTTCCAAGAAATTTTACTGCTACAAAGTCGCCTTTCGAAAGTAGGGCTCCTCCTATCGCCTCCAGCCAACATTTTGGTAAAGATGCTTTCAATGAAAAATTGATAAAAAAAAAAGAAAAAAATTGTGCCTCTCCAACAGGGACTCGAACCCTGGCCTTCCGCGAGTTGATATTTTGACAAGCGCTGTGTATATTAGCTTGGCAGATTGTCTTTTGTCATTTTGCTTACGAGATCATAACCCCTAGACTATTGGAGACGATCTGAGATTATTAGAAAATATGTCATTACTTACCTTATATAGAGTTTCAACCACATATTCCTCTACTGTCGACGCCTGTCACAGATATTAGATCACACTGTCTACATGGACGCCTGCTACTTTCTCGCTCAGGAAATCTACGATTGCGGGAGCAATTCGAACAAGCGGTATTCTGCCTACAGCAGTGTGAAGCTAAAAACGATCAACCTCTAACATGTGAACTTCGGGTATTGATAGAAAGATACGGAGGTCGGCACCAAAAGTCCTGCACATGCCAAGACACCGAGATTTATTAGTAGCCCTAACCCTGTTTTCGGAAGTCGGCCCTGTAGTAAGTTGAACTTTAGAGACATCTATTGGGCATGATAAGGGCAATGAGCCCCAAATTAGGCTCCGTTCAGGCGCGATTCCGAAGCAGATCTAGGCGCATTGTCCAGGCAAGGCGGGCCTTTATCCGAAATCTTAATGCGGGAGCCTTGGCGTCCAGGACTTTCGATGCAGACCTCCGTAAGTGGTGTTCCAGCGCTCCATTAGCGAACCCTGCAAATTTCGGTAACGGCATACTGTAGACAAGTCCCGTGGTTCTAGCAGTCTGGCAGTGCTGTTCCGGTATCGTGCATGAAGCCTGCAATCATGCCGACAGATGTCTTGTAAGGCACACTGAAAGTTCTACTTCTGACTTGTTCCTTGGTACCTTCTCTCTGAAAGTCAAGTTCTCGAGACAGAGGTTTTAGACTGGTGTTTCATTGCGTGCTGAGACCGCACTCTCTCAAATGACAGTAGAGGCCCTTTGGAGCATGGTAAGTTGGGAGACTCGGTGCGACAGGAACTCAAGGCAAACATTTGACAGAGATCGAGGACTACGACTTGGAAGTGCGATGGAAGACGGAAGTCCAAAGGATCCAATGCAACTACTAGATAACCAGGATCTAATGCTTGGTTCTCTTTCAAGCTGGTCAGGCAGGGAATACTCCGCGTTTGCAAGACTTTGATGGTCGCTATCCATGTGTACTCGGCTCTCACCCTTCCTGTTCTCCACTGTCGTCAGGCTCATTCTAGCCATTCAAAAACTCCTCCCTCAAGCAGCTTTGGATTTCAGTATCGCTCCAGGAACCCAAAGCCATGTTCGGCGAGTTCATCGCAAACAACGCTGAATCTCGGTGCTTTCAATTTCCCCCTACATAGCTTTGTCAGGACTCATCTCATCAGATGGTGAGATCATCAAGCTCTTATTGTCAGGTGATAAACTGTGAGACGAAGATGCAAAGTAAGAGGAGTTGTTACATCTGTCAAGGCTTGGGGAGCATCTATAATCCATCTGTTGAGCTTCCACTATCTCACGTATCAATACCATCAGGTGAGCGATCGCGGTCGCGACAGGATTGCAGCTACTGACCGTCATGGAATATGTTCCAGGATAGAATTTGCGCGCAAGCAAAGCTTGCAGCCTCTTTGTATCGATGTACCGATCCTGGATTATCTGTTGCACAGGCATGGTGAGGGTTCTAAGGTGCGAACGTATATGGCAACAAAGTCATGGGATGAGGATGACCGAGATTTTATGCGAACGAAGGTCAAGTGATCGGCGCAGGAGGGAACCTTAGAAGAGCTGTTCGAGACGCTTTTTTGTACACGCAATCAAGGCAATGCGGTGTGACTGCACAGCCGAGCCAAGATCTTCGTGTGCGACCCTAATGCAGCAAGGCCGTACCACATTCAGGCGCAACGATGATTTGCTGACGACATGTTTAGCGCTGATGCACCGTTCGCAATTGCCCCAACAAAAACTTACATATACCCTCAGCGCCTACTACTTTGCAGACAGCACTAAATATTCTCTTGAATATACATGTTTGAGATTCTCTAAGAAAAACCTTCAACTAAAAGGTATGAGAACATCTTCATATCTAGAGCAGACACTGTCCTTTGAGCAAAGTCCTGCGACCGATCAATACTTCGAAGTCAGGTCAAGCCATTTGTTTGAGCTTCAGGGAGGAAGCTCATGCATTGAAATCTATGTTCAACGGCCAAGCCAAGACCAGAGCATCGATGAATGGAATGTCGTACAAAACTACGACCAAAAGCAGGACTTTGAATACAATTCGGAGCCCCCGTCTCCTGTTGATTGGCACCGCTATTCAACAAGGGAACATCCTCCGCACTACGTTGGATGGCCTGGATTAGAACGGCAAAAGGTCTCAAATGCCGAGGATCTTGAAGAAATTGCAAGTGTAAGAAATCCCAGGGTCCTCATGAGTGTGCTACCTGATCTGATGGTCGAATGAAAGGCGTCAAAGAAATGCTTTCGCATATGGTGTGTGCATTGATTCACTATGATGCTATCTTCAGAAGCTACCCATTGCTCATCTCTTGTGGTAGTTTTATACAGCAGCGACATTCGTACAGTCGCCTATTGGTTACCCGGGAGCTCTTTGAGGCCTTGATGTCTCAACTAGTTATTTTCCCTCGATTCAAGGAATTCGTACTTCTTTTTGGAGCAAAACATGGGGAGAACGACATTGGCCCTCCTCAGCTACGCTTCAGGAGATTGCCTGCCCGTAAAGAAAGACTAAGCTGTCAATTGAGCGCTGGTTTTGGTATTGGCCGTTGCTCCGAATGCATGTTCGAAACTGACTCATCTAGAAATCGCGTATGGGCTCAGGTATGCAGAACTCAATAATCGGTCCGTCCAGGACCCATGGTCAATACGGCAGACAGCTATTTATCATAAGTTTAAGGCCAATGATAGATCTTCAAGTTGGGTCATGATTGCTGCATCGAAAAGGACCGAAACATCTCTGGATCGTTACATCAAGAGCTGCGAAAACATTGCTCAACTTAATCCTTTCGAGATCCATCTCATTGTGCTTGATACAGCACTGGCAAATTGGCGCCCTTACATTGTTGGCCTTACAGAAAGAATAACGCGACAGGTGCGCCCAATCTCAACTGCGCTATCCTCAAGTTTCACACTCACCGTAGAAGCAGACCGATAGAGTGCTAGTTGCGTCCATGGATGAGAAAGACTCGCTACGGCTTGCAGATTTTGAAGAAAGGCAGAGGTTGAAAGACTTCGAAGACCGCCTTATGGACATACTCCTTATATTCGATGCAACCCGTGACACTATTACATCCTTTCTTGATAGGTATCAAGAATTCTGTATTGGCTGTGGTAGTACATCGGATGATGGTGGTAGGATGGGGTCTGACTTTATAGTTTGTGCTCTTCAGGAGAGGCAAAAAGATGTCCATTCCAGCCGGAACAAAGTGAAGATCTTGCACAAAAAGGTCCAAGGAACGGCAAACTTAGTAAGCCAGCAATTTCTCGAATCGCAAGTCCACTTTACACTGATATCAAAAATTCCAGCTATCGAGTTTGCTGGACCATGGGAATGGATCCTCCCTCAAGCAGCTTGCAGAGGAAGCCAGGAAAGAGAACATCGCGATGCGGCAACTCACAGAGAAAAGCACGAAAGATGCTGCAGCAGTCAAAGTACTTACCATCATCACGTTGATTTACCTACCCGCGACGGTCGTATCAGTAAGTGGCTCCCATGTCTACATCCCTTTCCCTGTGCGTACGCTGATGAGATACTAGAACTTTTTCTCAACGCAATTCGTTAGTCAGGAGCAACATGAAGGAGGTAGTAACCGGACAGTGGTTTCCTCAAATGCGTGGCTATTTGCTGCTATTTCCATACCACTGACTTTGGGTACACTGGCGGTCTGGTGGGTGTGGGTACAATACCAGACACAGAAATCGCGGTGGCCAAAGAGAAACACGGATCAGTCTGCATGGAAAACATTCCTCGCATCACGTCGAATCCTCTGGCTCACGCAAAACTAGGGTACTTGAGCTGACTCAAATTGAAGACTCTAGTAGCCTCTTATTGCACTGCCATCCTCTCCAACATTGTGTGAAGATTAACGAAATCAACATTTTTGGTGCTATAAAAACTGCGCCTTGTCTTCGGATTGATCTACGAAAAGGATTGGTGTAGGCAGGCGGGTAGTTCATGCATCTCGGGCAGAGGTCGTATGTCCTGTGACAACCAATGAACACGGAGTCTCCACCACCATTGTAGCCGGTTCGTTTACCTAATACAACCAATCAATGTTGCCTGGGTGCGAGACGTAACGTATGCCTGCAAGGCTGTGACCCCCTTTTTTGGATAAGCTGTGCCTTGTTGAGGCTCAAATGGCAGGGCTATTGTTCCTCTACATACTCTTAGAACCCTCCACCTAAGAGCCTCGACAACCTCTCAACTTCGATTCCCCGCCTTGTTTTCAAGGAGCGCCTTTTCCATTCGGCAACACCACGAAAATGTTTTGATTTGTTGCGTAGAACAAAAATAAAGTGTTGTCACCCGTTAGTTCTGCGTCTGTTCAGCGAACAGCATCTTTCACAATGCAAGAGGCGCCTTACGGTAATGCGAGAGGTATGTACACCCAGAGTCTTACGCAATATACTGTTTTGACTTCTTGTTTGGTGACAGATCCAAATGGTGAACCTTTTGCAGAACCGTCGGAGCCGTTCAGTCGGGCGCCTTATGACAATAACAGCATTGCGGAACAGACTGCTGCCTCAACTGGGCCTCAAATTGTGTTACATCGATCCGAAGGACTTGAAGAACCCTGGAGACCCGCAATACAAAGCTCTCATAGTCTAGGAAGATCTCACTCGTCGGAGGACACGTCTTCCCGCGAAAGCCTTGACCTAGATGCTCCGGCCGTCGGCGATCCTCCGGACGCTTTCGACATACCCAAGAGCATCAAGTGCTTTTTCCATATCACTTTCGACGGGTCTACGGCTCCTGTTGCGGCCAACAGCTCGGCCATTGATTACACGGACCCCAACAGCTATCAAGAAGTTGAGAAGATCGCATTAGATCACGCCAGAGGAGCCCCCGTGGCTAAACAAATAAACTTCAAATATGGAAATTGCACGGTCATTGGCGACCACGTCGAGAAGACTGGTCTCCCACTAACAACCCGGGAGGATTGGGACGGTGTTTGCGCAATTCTGGTGAATTATTGGAGATCGGACCCTCAGCGGACACTTCGTGTCAACATCTTTCGGGACTATTTCTCCTACCGCAGTCGAGCCACCAGCGAGGCATCTTTGGCGGCCACCAAGCGTCAGGAAATTCATAGTCTGATCAAGTACGCTTCGGAAGATAAGCAGTACATTCCACGCACGGCTCTCATGAGGTTCAACTCCCTAGAGAACATTCGCGAGATCATCATCCAAGACAATCGTCTGGACATGGCACCTGAAGAGAAAGAACACTTCATACAAATCGTGCACTCAATTGCCCCCCGGCTACTAGCGCTGTGTGTATATGCTAAGTTGAAGATGGAGTGCCTCAACATACTTCTGGCAAAACGTTTTAGCGATGCAAATCTGCCTCAGCAACGTCAGGACTGTTGTCACGACAAGTGTGCGCCTGATTTCGCCCTCTTGTTGAGCATGCGGGGGTGCTTCACGGCGGCTCGATTTGATAACGTCGGCGAGCACCAGAACTTCCATCGCAGTGATGTCATACCAATAAACTTCATACCGGTAGAAGAAGACCAAGACGAGGTTATGAAGGCAGGTCGTCAGAGGGACCTGGAAAAAGGGATAGGAAACACTTCACGCGTAGCAGACGAGGCTAAGAAGAGTGCGTGCTGTGGATCAGGAGCCTACTCAAATGTATATCGCGTCAGGATAGACCCCGACCATCACAGACTTTTGAAGGTGAGCAGTGCTTTGTTGTTTGGCCCGTTGAGATCTAAAAGTATTACAGAACAAAGAAGCCGACTTTGCGCTAAAAGAATTCAAGGACCGGCCGCCCAGAGTCGACGACGACTTCCAACGGGAGCTGAAAGTCTTAGACGAGCTTAGCAAATACCCACTTCGACACATTGTCACGCATCGAGCGACTTGGACGCAGGAAGGCAGGTACTACATGTTGTTCCCATATGCACAATGCAACCTACGCCAATACATGGAGTGGATACGATTTGGTGCTCCAAAAAAGGAGAATATAATGTGGCTCTTACGACAATTCCGTGGCTTGGCGGAGGCACTCAAAGATATTCACAATTTGTCTGGTGCAGGCGATTTACAGTCAGCGCCGAATCTTGTTACTCATTCTGGAGGTGATCGGAAAGCGGGATATCATCATGACCTCAAGCCCGAGAACATACTTTTCTACAAGGTTTCTGGCAACTTTGAAATATCCGACTTTGGGTCTAGCAAAGTACATTCATATCGCTCAGGGAGTCATAATACTAAATCGGGTCATGGAACGGTTACCTATGAGCCGCCGGAAGCAGCAGGTGAAACATCACGACCTTACGACGTGTGGTCTCTTGGATGTGTGTTCCTGGAAATCCTCATCTGGGCCGTCTTGGGCTTCCCATCCGTCAAGAAGTTTGGGGACGAAAGGGATGACAGACGCTATCCTGGATCCCACGTGAATATCATGAAAGACGACGCCTTCTGGCAGATGCTTCAGAATGGGGACATCATGGTCCGCAAACCTGTCGAAACTTTTACCGAGATTCTAAGAGAGAAATTCTTACAGCAAAGGGACCACCCATTCATGAATGTTTTAGACTTGGTGATTAGAATGCTTGACACCGTCAAGGACACACGGATTTTGGCATTGGATGTCTACGATACTTTGGACAGGATTTACAAGCAAAAGAAAATTGACCTGGAGAACGTCAAGGATGACTCTTTGCCCGACAATGACGACGCCCAGGAGCTGTCTCCGTATCTGCCTCGATTGTCTCTCGACCCCCCTGATCGTCGCTCTCCAGAACGGACACGGGAAGGAGCTGCCGTGGCTGTCAGAAATGCTGGTAATGTTCCTGGAGACTTTCTGACCGCCTCCCCGATGAATTCAACCTCACCGCATTCTCCTCGAGTTTTGCATAGATGGAATAGTTCTGCGAGTGAATTTGTGGGACGATCTCGAAACGCTTCTATCGCATCCTCAAACATGAGCACGCATGGGCGTCACGGAAGCCATGATGAACGCAATTGATTGCTAGCCTTCCTATTTTTGCGAGGTCTGCTTTGCTCTCGGGCCGTTGCTGCATGTAGTGGGAGTTTGACCGATCATTGTATAAAGTCAGGAAGCTTCCGAAGCGGAAAGTCTTCATGTATGCGCCAGTGGACATCAGGACTGACCGGACGTGGCCTGAAACGCTGGTCTAGTCTGTATCGTATGATCTGATCAAGCCACTCGAATGCTACGCAGTCGTCTCCAACATAATTTTAGACATGTAGTATGGTGAAAGAGGTTGTAAAGGTGGCCAACGACTCGCGATAGGGCTGAGAAGGCTCGAAGGGTTCTGTACACTAGAGTATTGCATCATTTAATTGAAAGAAAGGATCCGACATCGCGAACCATCATTATTGCTAGTATTCACCCATCGAACCATCTAAATCTTTGCAGTTGACAAACAGACTCAGTCCTCACTATTCTAGAGGTCTGACCTACCAGCAAATCTAATTACGTTGATTCAAAAGAGCAGCCCGCGGTTGGGGGGACCCCGGGCGGTCAACGAAAGCTCCATACACCTCCTTGAACATGTCAAGCTTCGCACCAGACCCGCTAGGCAAAGACCCAGCGGAAGAATCCTCAAAATCATCGAAGTCTCTAAGCAAAGCTTTCTCGAGAGTAGACTTGGATGGACATGACCTCCCACCATCGCCAGCGCCTTCGAGCCCACGCAATGGCAAAAGATATGCTTTAGCGACGGAATTGGTTTACACGGAGGGAACAGACCAATACAATGCCAGCAGTACGCCCATATATCAGGTAGGAGAATCTTGAAGTGCGACAAATTTCCAGGAAGGCCCTAATGATCTTCGCCCTCATTGACTCAGCTCACATGCTGACAACGATTGTGACTCAGTCTGCAACTTTCAAGCAAACGTCTGCTGGTGGTGAAGGCGCTGAATATGACTACACACGGTCTGGCAACCCTACACGGACACATCTCGAACGGCATCTGGCCAAGATCATGTGCGCCGAACGCGCGCTCGTTGTCTCGTCTGGAATGGGAGCTCTAGACGTCATCACGAGACTGCTACGGCCTGGGGATGAAGTGGTTACCGGCGACGACCTATACGGAGGAACCAACCGATTGCTGAAATATCTTGCAACCAATGGCGGGATAATTGTTCATCATGTCGATACCACAAAACCGACGTCGGTACAGCGTGTCGTTGGACCCAAGACGGCTATGGTGCTCCTGGAAACCCCTACAAATCCTTTGATCAAGATCGTGGATATTCCTACAATAGCAAACCTTGCCCACGAAGCCAATCCCGAAGCTCTGGTTGCGGTTGACAATACCATGCTTTCGCCTCTACTACAGAACCCGCTGGAATTAGGAGCCGATATTGTCTACGAAAGTGGCACAAAGTATCTCTCTGGTCATCATGATTTGATGGCAGGCGTCTTGGCTGTCAACAGTAGCGCCATCGGCGACAAGTTGTATTTCACTATCAATGCGTCAGGCTGTGGCTTGGCACCTTTCGATTCATGGCTCCTCATGCGAGGAATCAAGACACTGAAAGTCCGAATGGAACAACAACAGTCCAATGCGCAACGGATAGCAGAATTCCTCGAATCTCATGGTTTTAAAGTGCGATATCCAGGACTCAAGTCACATCCTCAATACGCGCTTCACAACTCCATGGCACGTGGTGCAGGCGCGGTGCTATCCTTCGAAACAGGTAGTATCCACGTCAGCGAGCGGATCGTGGAAGCGGCAAAGCTGTGGGCAATAAGCGTCAGCTTTGGATGTGTCAATAGCTTGATCAGTATGCCCTGCCGTATGAGTCATGCAAGTATTGATGCAAAGACGAGGCAAGAGAGGGCTTTGCCGGAGGATATCATCAGGCTGTGTGTTGGGATCGAGGACGCTGATGACTTGATAGATGATCTTAGCAGAGCTGTAAGTACTAGCTTCTCTGAGTCGACTGGACCTTGCTAATGCCGTCAAGCTCGTTTTAGCAGGCGCCGTCAACCTCACCCCTGAGGGTTTTCATCACGCAGCTGAAAAAGGGCCTACTGCCAAGCTTGATACCCAGTCTAACAACATCTTTTAGAGCGGAAAAGCATTCAGAGCATTAGAATCTAAACCGATATCATCTGCATCACAATTTCAGATACAAAGTGATCTATAAACCCATTATCAAGAGCTAGACTTTCTGCTAAGAAGCATTGCTCGCGTGCCCTTTTACCCAATGCAGCTAGCTGATTTTTTTTTTTTTTTTCAGAAGTACCTAATCTAAGTACCTTGGATGATTTCTCTTCCTCTCATTTTCATAGTCAGCATCAAAATAGAAAATGTCGGCGATGGAGCTTAGATCTGTCTCACCAGGATATTGCAGAATATGACGCGTGAATTGGATCGTAATGGTCTTGCGGGATCCATTGGAGACAAAAATGCCCCACCAAATGTTGTCCTACCTCCATCACCACCCGATCCATCAGCAGTGATCCCTCTCAAGTCTCACGACTGGAACACGAAGAATTTGCCTTGGCGAATTACTTGTGATGTGACCGCCGCAGCCTGCGCTTCGGGCCTTGTCTCACCTTGGATAACGATCATCGATCGGTAGAGCACCCTCCCTCCTCCCTCAAACCCCCAGCTTCAACCCTCTACAGACACTTCAATTGACACCAACCACCCAGCGCGATCATCGAGAATGCCTCCAACCGCTCCACCCTCCGCACCTCCATCCGCACCTCCATCCACTCCCTCCTCACCCGCCCCCACCTCTTCCTGACCTCGAAACCCGCGCTCCTGATCTCAACCCTCTACTTCGGCACCTACGCCACAGCCAACAGCATCGACACCGTCAGCAGCACCGCCTCCAACACCTCTGCCAAAACCACCACGACCGGCCCTGCCAAATTCCTCGCCACGACCAGCGTCAACATGTCCCTCTGCCTCTACAAAGACAGCCAGTTCGCCCGCATGTTCGGCCCACCGCCCGGCATCGCGGGCGCGGCGACGAGGACGATCCCGAAGGCGAGCTACGCCCTCTTCGCGGCGCGGGACTCCCTCACCATCTTCGCGTCGTTCAACCTCCCGCCGCTCATCGCGCCCTGGCTGCCGATATCGGAGGGGTGGGAAAGGTCCGTCGGCAGGCTCGGCGTCGCGCAGTTCTTGGCCCCCGCGGGCATGCAGCTGTTCAGCACGCCGTTGCACCTGTGGGGGTTGGATCTGTACAACAGACCCACGGGCAGTGGGACGCGGTGGAGGACGAGGGTGGCCAAAGTGGGGAGGGATTGGTTGGGGAGCAGTTTGGCTCGGATGGGCAGGATTGTGCCGGCGTTTGGGGTGGGTGGGGTGGTTAACAGTGGGGTGAGGAGTAGGATGATGGGGATGCTTGAGGGGTGATGACGGTTGCGTGGTGATGCGTTACGTGCTTGCATTTATCGGGTTGCGTCGCATAGACACAGGTGTTGGCATGGCGGACGCGTTTGAAATCACAGCATGGCATATGGTATACACTCGACTCGACCCAAAGCATTCAAATACGCACGATGAATTGCATACTGTGAAGATTCTTCAAATCCTGTGACTAAGGGAGCCACCCCCATCCGCGAGCAGAGAAATCCATCTGCCCCAGGGCTTCCTAGCAAAGTGGTATCATATCGCACAACGCCAAACCCCCGATGTCCATGCATGCCCTCCAAACTCCTTTTGAGAAAGCAATATCGTGACAACGTCCTACTGGAAAATCGTCCCGCAACTGCAACACACGTAGAAAAGTTTCTGCATTCGCAAAGCCCTTAGCACACCACCACTGCAGGAAGCAGACAGGGATGCTCGAGGAGAAGACAACATACCATGCCCGTCTCCGCCGACCGCTGCTGCGACTGAAAGAACACCGCTTCCGGCTCGTGGCAGCTGGGGCACTCCTTGTTCGATCGCGGCAGCTAGACGTCAGAAAGAGCAATGTCAGCCGGGCGTGTCAAGAAGTCTTGCGCTCTGGGTTTGTGGGATGTGACATCCGCCCTCCACGTCCCCCTTCCACCTCTCCCTTCTCTCTCCCGTAGTGACCGGTCATCATCTCTCGGTCGTCGCCCGTCGTATCGGGCTCACCATCCACGTCCTCATCTTCCTCTTCCATCCCGCTCATCTCGCTCAGATGACAAACCGCCACATTCACGCCCGTCGCTTTGCCCTCGTGCTCCTCCTCCCCCTGCACGAACCCCTCCTCCCATCCCTCCTCCCCCAAATCCATCCCACAGAGCGTACAGCAGTAGAAATCAACGGGATCACCAACCGTAGGATCACTCCCCACATCCTGCGTCACCCCGGCCGTCTCCCCCACCGTGTTGTACATGTTGTTCCTGAACACGCAGCTGGAGATGGCTTCTTCGCTGAACTGGCAGGTCCGGCAGGCAAACATGAGTTTGTTGGTCATGCGGTCTTCTTTCGGGTAGAGCATGTTGCTGCATTCGCGGCAGAAGCGGAAGGTGATTTGTTCCTGGGCCTTTGTTGGTTGGGCGTCGGCGGAGATGTTGGAGGGGGCAGGTGAGGCCATGGTTAGTGGTGGTTGTGGTAAGGTGAGGGTGGTGTAGGTTTTGGTGAAGGTTCGTAGACGGTACTGTTGGTGGACAGGTTTGCAACGGTTGTTGAGTGACTGTTGTTATGAAAAGTTAGAGAGACTAAGAAGTAAAGTATGGGGATCCGGCGCGATACTGCAGCTAAAAGTCTTGGCATGAAACTCCGCGAGTCGGCGACTTCGTCTCGCACCGCGGCTCGTGTTGATTTCTGTGTTTTGGTGGGGAAACTCGTATTCCGTATTTCTCTCACATGCACTCGTGTGCTGTTATGCGATTTGAATTTTATATCTTATATCTTATATCTTATACAAACCCGCTCTCATCTGCTGACTTGATTCTTCCAAGTCTCACCAACTGACTCACAGTAGTCAATATGGTGAGTCAAATCCCCACCGGCTCTTTCTTCCCCAGACTCCCGATCCACCACCTTCTAAACCCCCTCCCCT